CCCCAAAACCCCAAAACCCCAAAACCCCAAAACCCCTTAATTGTTTGATTTTATTGAATTTTTTTAACACTTTCGATCTTACTTCAAGACGAATGGACAGCTAAGTCCACAACAAGAGCTAAATAGGTATGGCTATATACTTTCAGCTAACTTAGAGTACCTTGTCGGAACATAGCCTCATTCACCAGAAGTAGAGCTCTAAGCGAGGTATTTGAAGACCTGGCTATCTTCGGAGTCTCTCTCCATGTATTCCCTTTCTATTAGGCTTTCTATCCTGCTCTTTATTATTACTGAAGTGGGTTTGAAAACTTGGAGTAATGTCATTACTTCATTCATTAGATGCATATAAGTCATGGTCTTTCTCGATTTCATGATTTTGACAATAGCTGCATCAATAGAATGAGTTCTGTCAATATCTACTCTTTCTTTATTAAATGTCTCTTTTAGGATAGGAACGGGAACTGAAACAACCTTGAGCCTGCTCTTGAATCCTTCGTTTACTTTGTATACATCAGCGGGGGAGATCTCTTTGGGATTTCCAGATTTTAAAAGGATCCTATAGCGTGATTTCACAGCCAGGGATAACAAGTTCTTCTTTAACAAGTTATCATCTGTCTTCAAAAGTTCTTGAATCTCAGTGTAAGTTAGTTCAGAATGAGAGTTGAAAAGGTATATTATGCTCGTCTGGTAGACCGATAATATGAGGCTATACTGCTTCTCTCCCAATCGAGAGCTCACATGACAATTTCCATTCATATAAGACCACACTAAATGCTTCATTTTGTTCCTTTCCCCATAAAATTTGTTAAATACTTCTATTCAGTTACTTATCTCAGGAGGTAAGACTATTGGAGGAGACTTAAATGAAGGCCAATGACCATCAGTAAGAACCTTTACTTCAAAATTAAGCTCTATCTGATCTTTCTGGGATGAGTTCAAAAAGTCTCTCACCAGATCAACTTCTGAGTTGGCATCAGTCAACATACCTTCCACTTTGCTAGTATATTGAGGGCCTCAGCTCATTTTAATCCGGCCAATGAACTCCTTCTCATACTCAAGGGAGGCAATTTTGTTGTCAAGAAGTCTTCTAGCGAGACCTCACCTATATACCTCAATGAAGATGTCCTTATCCTCCATATAAGTGAAAATATTAGTGATTGCTTCAATATATTCATTGATCTGGACTTCTGTATGATCTTGGTTCCCTTTCCTTAAGACCTTATCAACAGATCTACCCAGAACTTCGGCTATAGTGTGGGTCCTCACTGATCTATTCAAGAAGGAAGAGAATGCGGCCTGGAATGCACTTAGGAAATAGGAATCCTTAAAAGCCATTTGCGGCCGGCTCATTACTCCAAATGCTGCTGAGCTACCTATATAATGATTACTTGATGCTTGAAAATAATCATGAATTTGTTTTAGAAATTATGCAACAAATCTATCTTATCATTTCTGGTCATAAAGCTGTGTTTGGATATATAGTCACTAACTAAAACGCCGATGCCAAGAGCTAATGAAAATACGTTTACGCCCTTCCTCTCAGCTTCCATGGATAGCTCGATTTTAAGTGTCTATGGTAGACAGGAGTAAAAGTCTATAAGAGAGGCCTAAAGAGTCATAAAATATATGCTAAATTAGCTGAATTTGAGTAGGGATCATAGCCCTAACTAAATTTCGCAATAATGCCAAATTTGAGATCAAATGTGCTTGATTGATGTAATGCGATCCTGACTAAATTTCTTTTAAATCGACGTAACCCAATTGCGCAATAAAGTATAAGCCATTTACCTCTGCTACTGATCATTCCGTCAGGAGCTTCTGCTGTTGAGGACCAGCGATAGCTCTCGATAAAGGTGATAATTTCTTGCACAAACTTTGAATCAAGGATCTTATGGACAACTGAAGACTGATCAAACTCAGACACATGATCTTCTAGGAGATCCACCAGCATATTTCCTTTCTTTGTAATGAAGGCCCTAAATCTATTTGCTATTTCCTTCAATCATGTCTGTAAAGGTGAATAAAGGCGGTAAAGTAAAACCATCTGCGAGGTTATGTGGTTCTCGAGCATGTAGTTCAACCCACTAGGTTTATCAAGAAGCGAGGTAAGGTTCTTTGATAATAATTCGTCCTGAACAATCGCTATAAATTTGTCAATTTTGCTCTGCTTCATATATCTATCAGCCCTATCCTTTTCGTAATCGATGATTTTCAGGACCTTGAGAAGGTACTCCTCTCAGGTATATTCCTTAAGGTACTTGGGACCTCTGATGCTATAGTAAAGGGAGGTCTCCTTAATGTACATTTCTTCTAATTCTTTGTAGAAATCCTCTTCCTCATTATCTCTATTCTCACCAAACCTAATGATCATCTGAATGGTTTGTTGGAGCGAATGAGTGTCAACTACATTACCATCCCTCTCTTTCTCAAATTCTTCCATAATCGCCTTGTACACATTGATTTTGATGCTCATGAACACTTGGGTCTTGAACAAAGACTCTGCTTTTTGTGACACTGTTTCGAGGGAATTTTGCTTCACGAAATGCTGATTCAGATAATTAAAGCACTTGCCAAGCCATTTCGTCCAAATATTGATGTGCTGGTCCCAATGCATAGCAAGTTTTCTAAGCAAGATGGTTCCTGCCACGTCATGCAAGTTGGGAAGCACGTTCTCGTTGAGGTACACAGTGTTGACTTCGACATACTTCGAGTACAGCGTCTTCGGGTAGCTTCCTTTCGGAAACACTCACAGGTTGTAGATGATGTTGTAGAGCCCGATGAAGTCTTTGTTCGTGAACACTCGCACATCTTTCACTTCTTCGATCTGGTCGAGCTTCTGGAAGTCTTCTTTAAGGAACTTGGAGAGGACGAGGACACCGTTTTGGTTGAACTCCTCCCACTTTTCGTTGAAGTTGGGTTTCTTTCGCTGCATCTTGGAACTCATAAAGTAAAGATTTAAATAATTACAGGGTTTCAAAATGTTATGCTTTTTAAGGGGTTTTGGGGTTTTGGGGTTTTGGGGTTTTGGGGTTTTGGGG